ACAAACACATAAGTACAACTCATCACAATTTGACATTTTCCGTTTTTTCTAAGTGACGCAGTTAACACATGGTCCACATATTTAATTGCTATAATAATGTACAATAAAACATGTAAAATGTAATGTAAATAATGTACAAGTAATATGTTTGTTAATTGTTAAATTAATGTATTATTTATACACACAACCCGTACGAAGGACGGGTACACAGCTAGTTAGTAAATAAATAAGAGTATATGAAAATGTGCTGTAGTGATGTGGAGCTATTTAGTAATAGACACCTCTCCATTTAACTGTTCAATGAAAAATAGCAGGAGTACGAATTATTTATAGAAGAATAATTTACTAACTAGATAGAAATTATTTTGTAATATTAGAACATATATGAATTTTCAATAGAAAAATAAAACTCTTCGCTGTGGCGACTCAGAGTGAAACATACATGAATTATAAGATTATTCGCGCCGGCCCTAGCCTGACGTAGTGGTTAAAATATCGGACTGGGGATCTGAGGGTCTCGCGTTCGAGAAGTGGGGTTACAAAACACTTCGCAGTTTCAACAGTAAATGCATTATAAGAGTGACATTCAATCCAACTATTCAGATAACAGAAGCTGCTTCAGGCGATCGATGCTACCAATTGGTTGCTTTCCCTATCGTCCGTTGTTCCAAATTATAGTAGATATGGCTGAGTTCTACGAGTCTCTGAGCTGGATGCTTCACTGGGTGTGATCATGTTGTTAAAATAATGAATAAAGAAACAAAATATTTCACTTTTTATAAAATAATCATAGTTTAATGTCAGACCCTACTTCACAGTACTCCCAATAACCTTTACTTTTTTTATATAAAAATTCCTTTGGTTTAGAATTAACTTACTTGATGTGTGTTCTCTCAAACAGTAAAATAAAAAACTGTACATTAGTGATACAGAAATCTTGTTGCTCCACTTTTGTAACGGAAAAAGGTGAAATGAGAGGGATTTTATGTCATATGATTAAATATTATTGCCTCTACTTATTAATGATGGTCTATTAGTAAGAGTATTAGATTCATTTATTATTAATATAATAATGGACTTGTGTGTTATTCAAACAGTAACGGAAAGGGAAGTGATCAACGGAATTTTGAATACCAGGAACACGCGAAGTCATTGTTTGGCATATGTCCGTCAAATTAATAACATCAACATGGCTAACTTACGCGTAGCGTCTCAGTTCATAGACGTCTCTAATCGAACGGTGGATGCTGAAGCCCAGAAGTTACTGAGCAATCTGAGAGACGATCGACTTCCTGCTAAGATTGAACCTCCGAATTACGTTAAGTAAGTTTACATATTTTACTTCTAAACGGTGCTGATAATTAGTTTTATTTGTTTAACTTACATGGAATGCATAACTACCTACCTGAGAGGTTTATTAAATAACCACAACCTTCTATTCAACCTGATTCTTAATTGTGTACAGGCTTTCGTTTTCGTCAGTAAAATTAATCGTTTGTAGTATTATTAAGTACACTAATTTTCCCCACGAGTTATTGGGTAGGATTCGCAAAATAATTGGAGGACCGATCAGAAAATGTATTGAATACCATAGAGTGAATCTAAATTATCTGACTCTGACTGAGTTTTTAAAAAAAAGAGACTATACACAGTGTAGAACAAGTAAAACACTGTTTTTATGACTCAAAATACAATCAATATGAGTGTATTTGACGAAAGACAGCGCCTTCCAGGGATCCCCGTGAAAAACTGTTAAACTTTTTGAAAGTATCCCAGATTTTAAAAAACAAAATTCAACATTATATGAAATAAACAATAATACTATTCTTCCCAGAACATGTGCGCCACCTGCATCATTGTTGATCATTCCCATAGAAAAAAACGAGTTTGTCAGTTGACCCGCCAGTGTAAAGGGTCGATTCTTTTTTCAACATCTAGCATGTTCAACTTTATATAAATATTTCCCACGCGAAGTTGCAAGTAATACCGTAGGCATGACTCAAAACAATAGGTAACTAGGCCAAAAAAAACAACAAAAAAACATAGCTGTTTTCTTGACCAACGTTATACAGTTAAGCCTACATACATTTACTTGAATGAAAATGTTGAAATACTTTGTGAACTTTAGAATTAAATAGAGGGAGTAGAAAATACCTAGCATGCATGTATACTACGCGTCTTATGTTTGAATGTTTTGTATTTATTCCTATCCTCTGTAAGTTAAAATTCACTTTACCAAAAATGTTAACTATGGTTAGAATTAATAACGACGATAAACGAGAATGAAAAAATTTACAATAAAGAAAATTATATAATTTCGAAGAAATACTTGAGGCGAACTGAAAATTCGAGGTTCATGAACCATTTCCAGAAAATCGTACTTTGCGCTTTGAGGCCGTGAGTGTGCTATAAAAGATACACCAAATCCCAATATTTACACAGACAAGTGTAGTTCAGTAATTGTTGCTGAGTGCTGTTGACTATATGCCTATTCTCTGTTGAATTTCACAGCGTACTAATGCAATAAAATATATTGTTGTTTTATGAATTAACACTATAATTGTCTATCAATTTTTAGACACTTTTTCCAAACTATGCATGCACCAAATTATTAGTAAGTCTGTGACTTTGGTGAATATATAGTGCTTAATAACATACGAGAAGAGTCACAAAACATTAAACAAATTATTGCGCCCCCACCCCAGTGGCTCTGCTGTAAGTCTACGGCCTTACTATGTTAGAAACCTGCTTTCGATACCCATGGCGGGCAGAGCACAGATAGCCCATTGTGTGGCCTTGTGCTTAACAACAACCAAACCAAATTATCATCAACTGTTTTGGTCAGTTCTTTACACTGAGGTTTTAAAAGGCAGAAATATATAATTATTCAATATGATGGTCGTAATTTGAAGTTTTAGTACAAAACGAACGAATCATTAGTTGAATAGAAAGTTATTAAATGAGCATTAAAATGTTTATTATTTTTGATGAAGTAAGTATATTTAAACAAGTTAATTACATTGTATGCATAGTTTTCTACTTTCTTACAAATCTGAGTCCTGAATAGTCATCATCAAATATTATTTTAAATTATATTTGTACGTTATTGGCTATAGAGTGATAACACTGTCAAGAATATTATGAAGTACTAATGGAAATAAAATAACCCCTTACTTTACAAAACTTACTCACATACAGATTACATTGTTATCGAGGGTTGGAAAGAATAAAATAAAATATTAGATATTCCAATTCATTCATCTCCCAGTGGTCACTTATAAGTTTACGAACTAAGAACGCTAAAATCTGGGGTTCGATTCCCTGCTGTGGATAAAACGCAGATAGCCCATTGTGTAGTTTGCTCTAAAAAACAACCAACCGATTCATTCAATATATAGAACATTTTATCACTTGTGACATCTAACTTCTGCATTGTTCCTTACCAGAAACTATAGTTTTTAACCATCAGTAAATATTTCAAACTACAAATGATATGCGACATAAAAGAAATATTTCGGGACTGGTATATATGTACTAAAGGATAAGACAAATCTTAGGAAAGTAAAATGGGAATAAATATCTCGTTACCTAAGTATGATTACTATAAGGCTTGTAAAGATCTATTTTCATTACTTGCTAGTTTGAATCAGGAGCGAAGTAATCGGTGGTTAGTTTCCAATGGAAATACACTGGCTTTGTAGAGCCTGCGTTCTGAATATTAAAATATATTTAATTTAAAAATAAACAGTTTCATTTGTTTGATATCATTCTCCGGTTGTGAGAAATAAAGATTCACACCAATTCAATATAAAATGAAAAGCAGTAACATGCAATAAAAATGAAAAATGAAAGGACGTTTTAATGAATTCTTTGAATTTTTATCTAAATAACTAATACCTCAAAAAATGCGTATTTTGTCTTTAATTTGAGTTTAATGATAAGTGTAATCAGCTTTTTTTTTCATATAATGTATTATCTTCTCTTCACCGTAGACCAATCTGAATTCATGATAAAATTTAATGTTCAATTCTAAATTCTCTGTGTGTTCCCAGAATGACGCCTTTCATCCCTGAACTTAATTTCCATAAGTTTCAGTATTATAATTGCTAAATCGTTTTCTACCATTATAAGCCAAAAGCCATTAATGGAATATTTTTTTAAATATATATAAATTTATTAGGGGATATGCTTGGTACGATTGGAAGCAATATTGATTTCCTACCAGCTAAGAGGCTGGCTGGCCAGCAGAGTATTATGACCTTTCTTCAGCCAAAAGAATTATCTAAATGTAGGAAACTGTCGAGGTATGGATGGAGAGGCGCAAAAAAAAATGCATTCAGTCTATATAGTAGAGGTGAAACTGAAGAAACAAGTGTGAGAATCAAAATTGATATCATCACAGATCAATTATGCAGAAAGTAACAACTTGCAGTGAAAACTGTAATTGTTTAAGACAGATAAATATGAGGTGGCAGAAGTGACATCTGGGCAACATCAAAATTCGGATCATCCACCGATGATGCCATGTTAACAGTCTTATTTGATATATATATTTTCTATTCCATTTTAACTGTTTTCGGAATTTTAAAAATGTTTTAGATATGTATGAACTACCATTGGCAAAAAATAAAAAAATAAAGAGCACCACTCCGAAGCAAACGTTTTCATTCTGACAAATTAAAATTCAGAATTACATATATTTACAGCTGGAAATATCAAAGCACGCTACATAAGAATTTTAAACTTAAAGAAATTCTTCTACCCGTGATTCAGTCCCCGGTGATACAACGGTAAGTTTACAGACCTATAACGCTAAAATACGGGGTTAGATTCCCCGTGGTGGACACACTAAATAGCTCATAGTGGCTTTGCACTAAAACAAACAAACCATCCTGTTATTCTTCCTGATTTTTGATCCGAGTATGAGATTCGCTTGGTCAAATTACTGAAGAAATACTGGGGCCAGACATGAGAAATGTTTATGGCAATTTTCACTAAATTACTGTACAAAAGTTTCACCCACATGTAACATAGCCAAGGTGTTTTCATTTTTAGCTACAATAATGATTACAGTTAGCTACATTACATTTCTTTAATAATATCAAGCGAACGATTCAACCATATATTTCCATGCTGAATTTTATATTCATTCGTGGAGAAAAGTACTTTATATTTACTGGCTCCTTGTATTTTATCGAAATGCAGTTTCTAGTTGATGTCTTAAGCTAATTATGAATTTAAATTGTGTTTTATTTATTGTTGTTGTTTTTTTCATCTGTAAGCACAGATTGCAAGAAACAGAAGAGACTATATGATAATTAATTACGAAAGTATAAAGAATTCGGACATTTGTTAATATGTGTAAAATACGTAATATATATATATATATATATTTAACTGTTTAGGTACACTGTGGAATGGAGTGGAAAGGATGGATTGAATGCAGAAGCTCACAAAGATTACCTGAAACACTTCACATCTCACTTCTACAGGCATATCATCAAACTCGTGGACCGCGCGATGAGGAAAGAAGACCTCAGTTCCCAAGGTCAAATCGTAACGGAGATTCTTCAACATCTTCACGCATGTAATAACGCTGTTCGAATCTTCCAGGGAAGGGAAGAAGAATTGGAAGCTATACGACATTATATTCAAGGCCCTTCTGACCAACCATTTATTTTACACGGCGAGGGAGGATGCGGAAAGACATCATTATTAGCTAAGGTTGCTAGTATGGTTTCTTTGTGGTGTAACCAAGAAATAAAACCTGTCATTATCTTGCGCTTTCTGGGAACTACGCCAGATAGTTCCAGTATTATTCCCATGTTGACTAGCATCTGCGAACAGATATCCTACAATTTCATCCTTCCCTGGACAGATATACCAGATGATCTTGTTCCTCTTATTGCATTCCTGAAGCGGCTTCTTGCCCAAGCAACAAAAGAACAACCCCTGTATATTTTTATTGACTCTATCGACCAACTGTCTGGACCGAATGAAGCTAATAAATTATCCTGGTTACCCACACATCTTCCTCCTTACGTTAAGATGGTAGTTTCTTCAGTATCTGGAGATAGTAAAGATTTCCGGCTTATTCAACGCATATTAGAGAACAGTGAACAATTCTTGGAGGTGAAGCCTTTGGGAGTAGACTTAGCCATCACTGTCATCCAATCTTGGTTAAAGGGAGTTTGTCGGGACTTAAACGCTTACCAATGGAAAGTTGTGCGTAGTGCTCTCGTGCGCTGCAGTCTTCCAATTTTTGTCAAATTAGTATTTGCAGATATCTGTCGATGGAAATCTTATTCCAAAGCAACAGAAACTACGTTAGCATCAACTGTTATGGACAGTATTATGAAATTATTGGACAGGATTGAGATGCAACATGGTAAAACACTCGTATTTCATGCACTAGCTTACATAACAGCCTCAAGGAGTGGGCTGAGTGAGAGTGAGTTGGAAGATCTAATATCTCTAGATGATAAAGTTCTGGATGACATATACCAGTATCATCTTCCACCTGTTCGACGTATTCCTCCCTTGCTGTGGACAAGAATCAGAAATGATCTTCCCAATTATCTCACGGAAAGAGAGGCAGATGGCGTGAGTGTTCTGAACTGGTATCATCGACAATTTCGTGAAGCTGCATTGGAAAGATACTTTAAAAACCTCAATGCTGTCAGTTACTTCCACTCCTGCATAGCCGATTATTTTCTTGGGATCTGGGGTGGAGGAAATCCCAAACCTTTCAAATACACAGAAATACAAAGACATCGGTTTGGCATTAGTAGCAAAGAAGGACAAGCAGACCGAAAAGTACCACTGCAGCCTTTAGTCTTTTACAGTAATGACGGAAGAGTTGTTCGGTACAATCTTCGCAAGTTTGGAGAAATGGCTTTCCATTTAGTTCGTTCACGGAGATTTGATGATCTTTTTGAGCATGTCCTGTTCAACTATCAGTGGCTCCACAGCAAAATGAGCAGCTGTCCAATTCAAGCAGTACTGGCCGACTTTGAAGATGCAAGAGAGTACCTCACTGAAAAAGAAGCTATGAGGGAAGTGATTTTAGTTGCAGATGCTATAAGGCTTGGCGGAGCAATACTTGGTCAGTATCCTAATATGCTAGCACCACAGATTGTTGGTAGACTCTTGCCAGTGAAAGATATGCATCAAAACGTCAATTCTTTAATTAAGCAGTGTGATGAGCTTGGCCCACAACATTGTGCATTAATTCCAGCATACCACTGCCTTCACACTCCAGGTGGACCTCTGAAATATTCTCTTGAGGGGCATCAGTTTGCTATTTTTGGATTTGCTCTAACATCTGATCTCCGTTATGTGCTCTCTGTATCTAATAGGTTTCTCATGTGGGACTTGTCAACGGGAGAAGTGACCAGAGACATCAATCCAAATATTCAGGGCATTATGCAAACACTAGCTCTCAGTCCTGATGACAAGTTTGCAGTTACATTCACAAACTATGACGAAATACTAATCCTTAATCTACTAATTGGTGAAGTTCAAAGTTTGAAAGAAACATTTCCTCCTGAAGAACATCTGGTAGGTGTTTCTATAACGGAAACGCTTTTAGCTGTTTGGACTGAGAAAAACTGGTGTGTTTTCTCACTAGCTACTGGAAAAAAAAAGGATTCCCGGGACCTTCTGGAGGTCAACTGCTCAATTATATCTGTGATATTTGTTGGTTTAGCTGAGTATCATGTTGCTCTTAGGGCCTCAGATGGGGAAGAATGTGATATCATACTTCGTACTGTAATTAGAGGCAGAAAACTAACCGATCTGAAACTATGTGGAGGTCTCGTGTTTAACAAAGAAAAAGATCTGGTGTTTATTAGTGAGCGAAATAATTCAGGGTATGATGTTATGGTGTATAAAATCCATACAGATGGGTGGATATATGACCAAAATATAACTACTAATGCAAACAGAATTCTAGAGCTTAGTCTTACACCTGAAGACAGATTTCTTGTTGCAGTTCAAGTCTGTGGATTCAGCCTTTGGGATCTCAATGAAAAAAGAATATTAACTCTAGACCTACCCCATGGAGTGCGAAATATTTCTACAAAACCTCTACATTCCCAGAGCAATTTGGTTCTTACAAGGTACAATCAGTATGCAATTGGTGGTGTAAGGAAAAACTTGTATGTGTGGGACACTACAGAAGGTCAGATACTTAAAGTTCTAGATGCTCATTTTGGAAGAATACTTCATCTTGAACCTCTAATAATTGATGAGTTCAATGGTATTGTTTCTTCTTCCATTGATCGCACAATTAAAGTGTGGAACATTAACAATATTTTCGAACAAGTTCATCTAATGGATCGCATGGAAATGCCAATCGATTCCATCAGTATTTCTAAAACTGGTGAAATTGCTATCACAGTAACTCGAAGTTGTGTTGGTATTTGGTGTCTTAGTACTGGCAAATTATGGGCAAAATTGGCTGACAGTCCCGTGGGAGCCATAGTCACTCATGCTGTAATAACAAACAACTCTCGTTATGTTGTAAGTGTGGAAACTGGTCACGTTTTGTTATGGAGCTTGGAAAAGGCTTGCGTTGCGTGGCGTCACGAACAGAAGAACGTACGCCAGTTGCTTTTAATGATGGAAGACACGCGAGTTCTGGCTGTTTCTTTGATCACAGATTCAGAAGCAAAGTGTGTAGTGCGAAGAATTCCGGAAGGAAATATAGCATACTCCTTCAATTTTCCAGTTCTACTATTTAAACCAGCTGTAATTTCAACAGATGGTCATTATCTCGTATTAGTTAGTCTGGAGAAAGGACGTGAATGTATTTCCGTCCACCAAGTTAAAAATGGAGTTTTACTTCATAAGATCCCTCTAAAACTTAACCTTATACGTGGATTCTCCCACATAAGTGCTTATCCTGCTAAAGGCTATCTCATAGCATTAGTTGGAACAGACAGAGCGCATGTTGTCGATGTCAAGGCGAGAAAATTTGTCAGATCGATCAACAAGTGGAATGGATGCTCTACCACAGATGGAAAGTATGGTCTATTTGCACCTTCAAGAGGAGGACTTGAGTTGCTAGAACTCCGCCATGGAAACACAGTGCACATGCTTCTTCCTCGTGTAAGCGAAGGTGTTTTTAGTGTTACAACATTATTTACAACCACAAATGAATACGTAGTTTATTATCACAGTGGGAGAAAAACCATTCGGCTTTTCCGTGTAACTGATGGGAAAATGATCGCCAATTACCGGTTGTCAGCAGAGAGCAGCTGTATCAAGAGCACTCCTGATGGTAAATCTTTAGTCGTGGGCGCTGTAGACGGAAGTGTGATTGTGCTGGTCATTGTTGATCCCATGAGCTCCGAAGCTCAGGAACATCTTATGTCACTGCCCAGCAGAACAAGCGATGGACCACACGTTGGAAAATCAATTATGACATTTAAGACTGCTGCTCATATGGTAGCGATGGCAGCTCGCTCCAAACTAGCAGGACAGGATGATAGTCAGCCGTCAAAAACATGCGTTTTATCATAACTTACTATCGTTATAAGCCTTGATTAATCGTTACGTAATCCAAGATACATTTCTCAAACTTATAATAGAAGCCGCTGTTTTGAGTATGGTGGAGAAAGACATACAAAAGTACACATTATATTGCAATAAAGTGATCCCTAAAACGATTTAGACATTCTTTTATAGAAACCCTGATGAAAATTCAAAAATCTCCGAAGTGAAACTTTCTAATATACGGAAATACACTATATGAAGCTATATATATATACGTTATTTTCTATAAAGTACACCCGAAATATAACGCAATTTCCGTGTTTATTGAATTATGAAACTGTATAAAGCATTTTCATTTTATTCACATAGAATTTTATGGTTAGTATTGACCAGTCTACTTTTTGGAATAAACTTATCCATGCCAGAAAATATATTTTATTGTTTACGCTGTCTGGTCTAAACAAGTATACTGCTTTCGATCACTACGATATGCAACATTAAGTTGAGAAAGCTAAATCACAGTCCAACTATATTTTTCGTTCTTTACTTGGCTTTCTGGTAAACGTCACGATGTACTTGCATATAGATATATCTGAAGGTGGTCAGGGGTCGCGTGGATGTGGTATTTTTTTTTTAAGTGCAGAATGTGCCATATTTACTAGAGTCTTGATTTTTAATCCTTAGATAAATGAAACGGTTTGAAAATAACGTGGTTTCTACACGGAAATAAATTGATGAGACTGAAAAAACACACAAAAACTTTGAACGAGTTATCAGGTTAAATAAAGTCCCGAAAGTATTGCGTGAAATAAGACTAATTTCGATTTTCGTGTTTTATATCTTTAGTCGCATACAATTTAAACAGGTCATGTGAGAACAATGTTATGTGTAACGTGTTGGAATAATTTTAAATATCTTTTTCAATTATTCCTTCTCTCTCTCATGTTATACGAAACACGATAAATCAGTAAACTTTTAACAAATTAGGAATGCTTTACGCACACACATACACTATGAAAGCCCGCCCATTCCTTTTTTTCTGTCCCTTGGTATCAGTAAGTTATATATATACCTTTATCATGGGTTTATACTGAATTGCTCAGATCAATTTCAAAGACTTTCTAAGCACTTTCAGAATGTTTTTCAAGCACTTATTGGAAGCTAAATTCTACACCAAAGATAATAGGATTTCACTAAAATTCTATAAAACTCGTATTTATTTGTTCAACATATGAATGAAGACTAAAAAGAAAAGAAATACTTTAGTTATTGCGCTCAACTACGCAACATCATTAAAGTTAAATATATCGATATATCCCGCTATTATAATATTTTCAAGTCTTTTGCAAAAAAAAAGGCCCCTTTTCAAGTCCCAGAAATTCTACTCAAAATTTCAAGGATGCGTATGCACCCTACATTATAGATTTTTCAAGAAATTAAACACTTATTCTAATTCTTCTAGCTTCGAAAATAGGTTTATTACGGTGATATCTTTCATTGCTGTTCCGATGAAAAAATATTACGTAGAGAGAGAGAAAAGAACCAGAACACGTTCCAACTCGATGAAAAGTTGGGCGACGTTTAATAAATAGAAATGTTTTAAATTTCTCGTACGTTAAGAGAAGTTAAGGAAGTAATAATCAATCATTAATATTTCTCAACATATTTATATATAATAAGGTTATTTAATACTTTTATTAATAATATCTTTAACAGTTGGAATATTACTTTTACCACTTAACTGAAATATCCTGTTTTGTATCGCTGCTTTGTTAACTTTTCTCATTACCTTAATGCAATTTCTATACTTTGAATAGACATCTGTAAAGTAATGATTGTGTAAAATTAAAGATTATGTTCATAATGTCATTTTTTAAAAAATAAATGAACTTTCATAAAGGCTGAACGGAGGTGAAAAGTTTTGCAAACTCTGTAAGAATTACGCAAAAAATACTTTATTCAGCACACAGTACAACTATTAGTTTCTATAGAAAGGTCACATATTCATTATATTTGATAAGTCCTTAACTGATATGGACAACATTTGTAATTGAGGTAATCTGGAACCCAGCTACAATTAAAACATGTGACATCTGCCTTCTTGGGATGTCCAAATAAAAAACAAACAGAAAAAACGGTTCTTCACACTAAGTTACATAAATGGAACAAATCCGTCACCTATTATATATATACGAAACATCACCTCTACGTATATGAAATGAGAAAAAGTTATATGAAACCAGTTCACACGTTTTTCTCTAAAATATTTGTATTACAGAACACTTAACTTCATACTGTTATTTACTATCCTGCTGAAAAAATAAATAAATAAATAAATAAACTGATTAACCAATAATAACATCTATCAAGATAATTAAATTTTTACATGTTATATTGCATTTTCTATCATTAAAAAACAACGCAAAGCCACAAAACTCGCATGTATTTTTATTGGAAAAGAAATAAATGATTGCTCAAACTGAAGTATGTAATGATATTATGCTCAAGGCAAATTAATTTTATATTGACACTCATTATACTTTGACACGTTCACTTCAAGTACGTAATATTTGCAGGACAACTCTAAAGTAACCTAGGGTAAGATTGAGTTAAGAGAGAAAAACAAAACAAATTAGATCAAAATGTTCCTTTGATGATTTACTAATACTGAACTTATCCATAACTAAGGTTTAATATTGACAAGAAAGACTAATCTAAAAATAATAATACATCATATATGTACTCGTATATTTTACTCAATACTTGCAAATTAATATTTTGACTCAAGAACAAGTTTCTTCCTGAAACTGAAAAAAAAAAAGCTGGCTATAAACATTTTACCATTTCTATACCCAAAATTTAACTAGAGTGGACGTATATTCTGATTAAATCAGTTCATAATGATGTTACAATAAACTCAGTATATTTACTGTGAAATACTACATTGATCCACTTACTAACTGTAAAAATGAATAACCCACAGAATATTCATAACATAAATCTCTATGAAAATGCTGCTAATTCAGATAAATACAGAATCACAACTAACAACATGAGATGTTTGAATTCGTTTTAAATGTTAACTAAGTTTACTATTTCAATTAAGAGAGTAGCAATGTATATACCTAAGGCAGATATGAAACACTTCTCTGACTACAGCTTCCTAAGTCAAATGACCAGTAAATATATGTATCTAAATTTTTTTATAACAAGAAATCTGTTTTTTTATTAAAAAACAATAGCAACAATCTTTTAATAACACTGGTTATTATAAGCAGAACTTATGCTACTTTTTATTTTTACTAAAAAAAGAGCTTTGATTTTACAATATTGTAAACAATCTGAGAAGCAGGCATGGCAATGATTAATATGTAAAAAACTATTATCCCAGTTTTTATGAGAAACAAAAATAACGAGTTCCAAGAACTTCAAGATATGAGCATTTCAACATACATCAACACATGAATAAGAGATACAAACTTGCTACAGGAAATAATGAAATAGGTTGATTAATATTCTCAGATTGAAATAAAGAACAAGTACCCCAACATACAGCTGTGATATTTGAATGGTAAAGTTTAATAATATTTCTAAAAAGTCGTTATGGCTATTCATCTCATGATAGAAATGAATATGTGATGTCAGCAAAGAAAAACTTCTCACTCAACTCTAGTTTTTAGATTGGAAAAAAAATAGCAACAGATTTATTTTATCTAAGCATAGACCACATGCTTCTAATTGTCTAAATTTAAGAAGACTCATTTTGAAATAAATAACTAAATGTTTTTATGGGTTCAGGTAGTTTTCTCATAATTTTCTACCTTCATCAAAATACTAGGGTAATATCGAAGAAGTATCCAGTTGATATTTCACTTTCATGAAAAAAAAAACAACAACAAAGAAAAAAAAAAACACCACCTCAAAAAAATCAAGAAAACCACCCTTGAAAGAAAAGATTAAATTTTAAGTGCACTGAAACTACACTATTGTAATTTCTTTTCATACATGTACTTGTATGGTAAGACATGTTTCTGCATTCATTTCAAATCTCTTTTCCTATAATGCCAGTTCTCTCTTACACAGTCACAAGTCTGAGAAAAAATGAAAAAATAATTTAAGGTTACTTATTAAAGAACCAGTAAACAGAGCCAACAACCACATTTTTCTTTCCCAAACTAAAAGTTCAAGAAATTTGTGTTTTGTTTTAACAGACCTTGACTAAGTGATCAACTTGTACAAGAAATGTTTTTTTAATGTACAACTTTTTCATGACTTTCTTGATAACTTAGCAAAATCAATCATTTCCAAAAAAGTGTCAAAACATTTTTTTCTCCTGCACATTTTTTATAGATATATGATAAAAAAGAACATTGTTAATTATATATATGGAGGCACTGAAAGATAGAGGGACAATTTTAGCTAGTTTATACATCAAGTTCAACACATTATTGAGCTTTGATACAGATGTAATCAACTTTCAACTAGATTTTCTTTGCCTAATGTTTATTTAGTGTGAAATTTTTATACTTAAAACATACTGGTTAAAAACTAATCTTTGAGTAGAAAAAGGTTATCGAAAAACAAATGCATGTGTTATACAATTGCAACTCTAATAAAGCCTCAATCATAGGTGATTTGGATAAAAGTATTAACACACTAGTAAGATTGGTTGAAATCTATACAGAGAGCAAGACGCGTGACTTGCTCAGGTACGTGTGAGATGCTAAACTCCAGCATAACACTTAAGTAATTCTTACCACATTGCAACCTATCTACAACTGAGTACCACTTCAAGTTGCCACTTGAGTGTGTTATCATCATAGGAAGTTTTTCATTCGTTACAAAAGTCCCAAATCTTAGCTTTGGTTTTAAAAAAATCATAGTATAAATCTTATGGTTTTGTTGATGTAGAATTTTCTCCCTTTCAAATGAACAAAAGACATTTATGCACACCTATTTTCAAATAATAACACCATCCCTAATTGGCAAAGTGAATTATTACAAAAGGTAAATTTCCTGATCATATTATTATTTCTACAAAAAATATCATATAGCACTTACTCTATAATTTCTTGGCTTCTGTGAACTTAATGTAGTATGTAATTTAGTACACTTTCAAGTATTTAAAGATGCTTGTTGAGTTACCATGCTGTACAAAATCTCCCACTTCTTATGTTACTGCACCAATCATCCTCATCATTAAAAAGTTACAACCACAAGCACACTTCTATTTTGAATACCTTTATGATCTTCAAGAACCCATAAAAATATAAATGTTTGTATTACTATAGTGACTTCTAACATCACAGTAATAATACTTTCTAAAAACTTCATTCAATCTCTAATGAAATGTCTGTGTCTTTAACTTTTAACAAGTAAAGGTAGTCAAGCGTAGCGTACATAACAATTCTTATATTATAACACCGGGCACTTTAGTTTAATGAAAGCACTAACTTGTCAATTTATATAAAAGACTATGAAAGCATCTTTCTCTGTAGTGTATACAATAAGCAGATAAGAAAGCAAAGAGAGAGAGAGAGGTTAATTTAACATTATGAAGAATCAAGCTGAAAAAGCTCAATTAAGAACTCAGAAAACCCAAAATTTTCAAAAGTTAGAACTTCTATAAGTGCTCAGGTTACTGGGTCTGTTAAACAGGACCCACATTACACATAACCAAATATATAATGATACAAAATCATAATAAGAACTACTTACAAAATCCCATGCCATATTTCTTTACATAATTATAAAATTAAGGTTAGTTCAACAATGGTTTTCATTACAGAATGATTTCAAACAAAGCTAATTTTCTCTTTGCAAACTTGCTTTAAACATAAACACTAATTGTAAGCTCTTCTTTAACTTTACAAATATACCATATAACTTAATTTACATCTCACAAATATTTTATAATGAACATTAATACATTATTTCCAGTAATTTAGAGGGTATCACACTGTTATACCTCATTAAAAAAAACTTTAGCAAACCAAATGGAACAGAAATGTAACTTTGTAAGATTCAGATACCTATATAAAAAAACAAAAACAGGAACTGTCTATGATTGCCAAACAACAGTGTGATATTACACAGTTTACTCACACATGTACAAGTATCAGAACTACACATACTTCCTTTTGTTCAAAAGTTCTTACAGTTCTTTGTAGAGTACTTCTGTTTTCCATGTTCACTGATGACACAAACATGCTGCATGAAAAATAAAAAATTAAGAAATATACGAACTTTTTCAGAGTAAGCAAACGACTATGCAATCCATGTATACACTATGAACACACAAACAGTATTGGAAATAATTATGGAATCACACAAGTGATATACACGAGTTAAGACCAATGAGAAATGGCAAAAAGTTAGTGAATTCATTAATGGTATAAAATGTAAGTTGTATATTAAAATATAAAAAATTGTATAATTAAATAGTATCTTTATGTAAGTCCTTTAGCTTACATACAGCATTACACCTTGTTTTCATGCTGCTACATAGTTTATCAATGCACAACTGCAGAAGGTTATTTCAAACATCCATTATTACTTTCCATATTTTAACTACATTTTTTGGTTGACTTGATTTTATCAGTTTTTACAAAAGTCTACCCAACCAAAAAAATGTTCATATTAGGACTTTATACAGGTGAAGCCACAGTTTCAAAGGTTGCATTGACTTTTTCACAATCAATATGACATTTTGCCACAATTTCTATATGCTTGAAATCATTGTCTTGCTGATAGATAAATTTGTGTCAAATGAGTCATATTCCTGACAGATTGGCATGATATACCAGAACCTAACTGAACTGTGAGAAATTAGGGTGCCACAATTTAATGTGGATATCACTGAATATATTGGCTGAGATATTTCCCAAAAATTGTACTGACCGTCCATTATGTTTCACTTTAGATGTTGCACCTTGACTTTGAAACCAATCTCCTCTCCATCACTGAAAACTGTCTTTAATTGTTGCCTAATAATTCAAAATTGGATTTATCTGTAAAGAGCACATTTCTTCTGCTTTGGTCTTTTCACTGTTTGTAGTACAATGTCCATTTTATAATTCTGGATTTATTACTTTTCTCAGCAGCAATTTTTGAGCAGCTACTCAACCAATGAGACCACTTCATCCTCATATGAATCTTACTGTTCTGGAGGTAACATTCACAGGGTAATTATAGCAAGGTTGCACCATCTGTACTCATGGAATGTTTATCCCTGAGATATGTAACATCAATTCTGGAGAGTTTTGGTTTCTACCTCAACCACTTCCATTACTAACAGTACCAGTTTTACATACACTCCTTAGTTTTGCATAAAATTCTTATTATGAGTCTTGCTACAATTTTTCACATGGAGTGTTCTTGACAAGTCAAAACTTAAATCTCTGTATGCTTGTTGTGTGGTATTTCACTCTTATGAGTCATGACTGGATTCACACTTCTACTGCCACTGTTACTACTGGACATTGTATCAAAACTTGTACTAGTACACTAGTGTGTAAACTATCAACACGTGATTGCACCCTGGTACAATTTTCACAAAACCAAGGGATGGAATTCCTATAGTACTTGATTATTTTTTTTTACCAGCTTTATCCCTTGCAGTTTCTATAACTATTTTCAGTACTGTAGGTACGTATAAGAGAAGATACTATAACATCAATATAATCACAAAAAAAATATTTCCTGTTTGTTCCATATCATTCCTTACCAGACCGGTGAGCACCTTTCAGGCACTGAGTGCACACCTGCACATAAATTTCAAAATTTATGTAAAAAATAATAATTCTAACTAATTCAACCAATTTTTCTACACAAAAATATTTTAAACAGTAATATTTTGTCATTTTTATTATTTATTCAGTGGAATATTAAAATAAAAAATATTCAAACTTACATTTCTGTACAGTTTAAAGGAACTTGTCTCTAAACAATGCACTTATAAATTTTTTAGAATTATTCTACCCTTCCTAAAACATAGGTTTTATTTACTAAGAAACTATCATCCCTTGAAAATACAATTAACCAAGTCTTTATTACTTTGTGATTTTCCTTCTCTGTCTAACAATTTAATTGTTACAGCCTCTGTGCCATCATAAAAAGGAAACAACTACAAATGAAGAACAGCTTTGAATACAGTTACAGGTAAGTTGAAAGACCAGCAGTTGAATAGAACAGATTATAAACTATTTATTTCAATGTAAAGTAAATAAAGTGGTGCAAGAAGTACTTTATGGTTTTCTGAGAAAGCAATTAGATGTAGCTCCTGCAGAGAACAACAACAGAATTTAATGTTTATAAGACTTAAGAATAAAATGTTTTTGTGTGAATTATATTTGTTTGAAAGTTAAAAAAATGTTCTTCTGGGAGAAAATATCAGGTAAGCCTTGTTAGGTTTAGAGTACAGTAGCAATGGCAAAATATTCTAGTGACTCAAATCTTGTTTATTGAATATTATCATTATGTTAAGTTTACCACATCAAAATAATTTATTTAAATAATTTATAACTTATTGAAAACAAAGTATGTTTATTAGATATAAAATGAGTTCCAAAAACAATGTTGATTGCAAAGATATTGTTACCAAGTCTACCCTGACACCATTTTGAAAGGTCAGATCTCAGACATCGACAAATCTATCAGTTTTGCCATGTTTTTTTTCAATTTATAACCAAATGTGTTGACTACAACAATCAGAAAGTTAAATTACGAAATAAAATATGTTAATAAAAATCAATAAAGTTTAAACTGACTGGTTACAAAATAGAAGTTTCTGATCAATAACAAAACTATTTAATTTTTAAAAATAAAATGAAGTATTTTTATTGTTTTGTTAAAAAGTGTCTCAATAAAATTTTTGAAATTTCAATAAAAAAATCTAATTATATGAATTTTTTAAAACTGAAACTAGACACTATAAAGTTCCTTCCAAGTTATGCAATCTGGTTAAGTATTTCCACTTTAAAAGAAAAACAACAACACTGAACATTTGTAAGTGTCAACGATGGTTCAGCAAATTTCATGCAGGTGACTTTAGCTTTAAAAACTGTGATGGCAGGGGCCGACATGTTGGAATTGATATTGATGCTCTGAAGATGCTTGTTCAATCTAACCAAAGGCAACACACTCAGGAAAAGGCCCTGAAATTGCAAGTCTCTCATGAAATAATACATAAACATCTAAGGAATATGGGAAAACTGCTTAAAGAAGGTGTCTGGGTGCCTCACGAACTCTCCGATGATCATCGTTTCGAACGTGTGAATGTTGCATCGTCTCTTCTGGTGCATAATGAGCATGAACCATTTTTGGACAGAATTGTCAGCGGTGATGAAAAATGGATTCTCTATGCGAACATTAAATGCCAAAAACAATGGCTTAGTCCTACCCCAAAACCCTGACTCCATCTGCAGAAAGTGATGGTTTGCATTTGGTGGGACATCAAAGGAGTAATTCATTTCAAACTCTTCAATCCACAGCGAACTGTCAATGGAGAGATCTATAGTCATCAATTGGAATATTTAAATCAAGCCTTTCATCAGAAACACCCTTCACTCGTCAATCGGAAAGGTGTTCTTCTCCACGACAATGCACGTTCACATGTGGCACGTTTGACGCAACACAAGATTATGGAGTTGGTTTGGAAAGTT